GGAACATTTCTAAAATTAGAAAGTACCTCACTGAGGAAACTACGGAAATTCTTGTTCATGCGTTTGTTACTTCTAAACTAGACTATTGTAACTCTTTATTGTATGGCCTCGCTAAGCATATGATAGGTAGTTTGCAGTCTGTGCAAAACACGGCTGCTCGTGTCGTTACTTTAACCAAGAAATTTGATCATATCACCCCTGTATTGATTCAACTGCATTGGTTACATGTTCACTTTCGGATTCTTTTTAAAGTTTTATTGTTAGTTTATAAGGCGCTAAATGGTATTGCACCATTATATATCACGGAATTACTTAGTTATCGTACATGTTCACGTACGCTACGCTCTACTGATCAAAAACTTCTGGCAGTTCCGAGGTCAAGACTTAAAACATACGGAGACAGGGCCTTTTCTGTTGCTGCACCTAAACTCTGGAATGAGCTGCCATTAGATCTTAGAAGTTTAGTTACAATTAATTTATTCAAGAAACACTTAAAGACTGATCTTTTTAAAAAAGCATATAATGTTTAACTTTTTGATAATTTAGAATAGGATTTATTGTGATATTTTTATAAATAAGACTGCTAATAGGTTTTTAATTTATTCATATTTTATTACCAGTGGGATCTTTTTAATTATTTTAATATTATGAATTGTAAAGCGCTTTGGTCAATTAGTGGAGTTAGCGCTATATAAATTATGTTATTATTATTAAAATAATAAACGGTCAAAGAGTACTGGAACAAGTTTGAAAAACATGGCGGCAGAATGAATATGTTCACGGCTCACGGACGTTTAAAAAATGTAGTTTCGTAAGTTCCCTAGTTACTCCTTGTTAGTTCGCGTAGGTTCCTACACAGGAAAAATAACGGATTCCCATTTTTGGATATTTTAGGGTATTTAAAGAATACCCATAAAAATCCCAAATTTGGCAAAGTGAGACAAGTCCCAACCAGGGAATTCCCAACCAAGTTCCCTGATTGGGACTTGTCTTAGTCTTCCAAATTTGGGATTTTTGTGGGTATTCTTTAAATACCCTAAAATATCCAGAATTGGGAATCCGTTATTTTTTCCTGTGAGCTAGTTCAGTACTGTTAGCAAAAATAATTATGTCTGGGAAGGGCTAGCGTTTTTTTGTGCCGTTGAATTACTATTTAAAAATAAATAAAATTTAAGCAATAGAAAACGTTTTCCGTGTTTGCATAGCCTGATATAAACATGAGAGGGATTGGGAGAATTCGAGACAGTTATGCAAACCCGTCGCCCCATGTAAGGGAATCCATGACAGTCGTGGATTCTGGATTCCACCCTGTGGATTCCGGATTCCGAGCACTGGATTCCGGATTCCAGCTCAGTGGATTCCGGATTCCAAAAAGGGCTGGATTCCAAATTTTTTTTTCTGTTTTAATGCTTTTCTTCGCATTTCGTTTTCGTGTTCGAATCTTGCTATATTGAAAGACGTTGTTTAGAATGCATAACAAGTTTGTTTTCAGTTCTTTTTCGATTTATAAATTACGTGAAGAAATGTATTACTGTTCCGTAAGGGTTTAAGGTATAATGATGAGGGGGACATTGGGGGACTGTCCACATCGCAAGACCGCGGAAAAAAGTAACAAACACAGCATCACCGCAAGAAAACGTGGCGAAACACCGATATCGCAATTTTAAATTTTGTCCTTCGATTAATCTAGTCCAAATCTCCATATGATTAGGGATCGAGGATCTCGGAGCTGGTTTAGTGATTAGTACAGAGTGAGACTGACCTCAATACTCTATTTTTCACTTACGCTATTTTTGCGAACTCTATTTTTAGTCATGCAGGTAGAAAAATGCTTAATTAGCAGAAACAAAAGAACTCTTGCAAATCATTCCTAAATATTCAAGTTTATTCATTTGATTGCTGCATACCAAAGTATTGGGAAAAGGTACAGTCATTGCCAGGGAAAATCGAGCTACAATTTGCAAGAAAACGACCTAAGAAATTAAATTTCGTGTGTAACTCCAAGTCAATTTTTCCTATCTATGCCATATCATAAACCAGCGAAGGTTAATCAAGTCTTTTGCTATCCACCAATAATATAATAGAAGGTTCATTTTGTTTGTATGTCGTTACATTCGTAGTTTTCCTTGTCCTGTCCGAACGCCTGGAACAGGCTAGTCGAAACGTGTTTGCAAATTCTTTTGGAACATTAAAACAGTATTTCGAAGTAACAGAAATACTATAAAAGCCGCCAATCGCTAATCACCTCCAAACTATCACAAAGAAAAGCTTGGTTTCTTAACATGTTTTCGGACATTTTTTTTCGTTCTCTTTCTACTTTTTATTGGAATCATTGTCATAGCGCAAAAAACTAAATTCGGTTACCGCTCTTTTGTAAAACTTTCATTAAGCTGTAGAACACGCGCATTAGATATCACTTCTTAACTGAATTGCTTTCACACTTTCTCATATGACTAGTGAGACACGAATTTTAGCCAAATACAATAAAATACACTTCTCCTAGGACGGGATAAGCATATATACTCGGTAAAAGATTGACAATCAAAAAGAGCAGAAGATTAAACTGGACTTAAGCTGACAAAAGTGGTGTCCCGGTCAGCGCGGCCCTAAAGTGACTAAAGTTGACTTTGTCACATAATTGTCTAAGAATGATAACATGGCTCAAAATAAATTTCGGACAGTGACGGGCCACGTTGATCCACCAAATAAATTTTTACGCTGTCACGTCTCGATGTTTTTGACTGGTCAAAATAAAGAAAAAAAGTTAACTCTTGACAGTCTGAGTCTGCAAGCCCAAAACTATCAGTTACTTAGTCTAGTCGTCCAAAAAGTGGCTTAATAGACAAAACGGCTCAAAACGTAGTCAAAGATAGCCTGATTTGCCCGCATTCAGTCAAAACTGTAGAGTTGAACTTGTGTGTTCTTCATTCACTTACGCTACGCAAGCATCCTTGCTGGACAGCATGCGAGAGTAAACCAACCCCTCCCCCCTCGCCCTAGAGGTCAATGAAATCCCTAATCTGGTACCCAGATCTCTTGTTGACGAAGCCAAAGGCGAGATCTGGCCCCATTTGTCGCGTTGAATTTTATGTTAAAAAGATAAAAAAGAACACCAAAATTAGTTGGTTCATACTTAACATGTGCGCATAACCACGTTTTGATAGAAAAAACTTCACGGCTCCATCAAATTCGTTCATTAACACGTCAAAAATTGAGGATTAATTTCAAGCATGCGCTCTTTCATGGCCTGTCACATTCCTGACAGGCAATCACGGGTACAAAATCGGATTTGACCAGATCTCGCCTTTGGCTTCATCAATAAGTAAGAGATCTGAGTGTGAGATTCTGAAATTCCCCGCGAGTTTTATTTCATATTAGCGCGTTCTAGGTGGCTCTTGGATCCATTTCAAAGAAAAATTACGGGCTAATCTTATCTTAGATCGGTCTAATTTCCAAAAGCGACCTCAATGCGAACGAGGCCTAATCACAACTGAAGAACCAGAAAACATGAAAAGTCCGTTTGATCCTCGATCGAGTCTGAGATGACTGAGAGATCGAGAGAGACTTGCGCGTTTCTGACGCGTTGGCTCGTTTTAAGCGTTTAACAACTATATAGCGCTCATGTATACGATATTTTCCCCAAGGACGACGTAAAATTTATATTACATTCAATTATGATTGAGAAAAAAATCAATCTGCGGGCTTAAAACTATAAACTGAACGTTTCTTTTGTTCATGATGGTGACTTGCTGGCCGCCACGTTCAGTACAATCCACAGATCGATATAAACGAAAAATCATACAGCTTTGCCTTTGGCACGTTTAGATCTATCGCAGTCAGCTAAAAATTGGTATTAAATTTCACAACACAGTATTAGGGACTGTGCAATAATTATCTGGAGGGGGGGTTCTAAAATTAGCAAAGTAGGCCTTAAAATAAAGTTGCACCCCCCTGAATTAAAGTTAAAATAACTTCTTGTCCACCCCCGTCTAGAGGGGAGATTACTTTCAACCCCCCCCCTCCCCAACCTCCGATCCTCCCTACATCCCTCTTTACCTTTACATTACTTCTGGTATGTCTGCATCATCAATAAATAAAACTTGGAAGCTGCGCTCCACATAATCGTCGCCTGATGAACCACCTTCATACTCGGTTGACTCCTCCTCAGAATCACTTGAGGCATGAGAACTGGAGGGCATGTTTTCATCATCATCTTCGATGTCTTCATCAAATGTTCTTGCTACAGAACCATCTGCATGCTTAAGTATTCGCTCAACTAATTGTGCCTTGTTTCCAGATACCATTAGACCTTCTTGCCTTAGATAGAGCCGAAGTTGCTTGTTAGTCAGTCTTTCAACATCGTCTCTGCTCTCCCAACAAATATCTTCTGGAATGGTGTTTCTTTCCAGATTTCTTTTGTCTGCTTTTAGAGCCAAGAATTCAAGGTGCTGAAGATATCTTCTGCAAGAACTTTCGTCGATGTTAAGCTTTAAGCATGCTTGCCGTATGGCCTGGCTATCAGAAGAGGTCACTTTCTTTTCAACAAACATCTTCTTCACTTGTACACTAGGAAGGATACTGTCAACCTCGCTTGGAGCCAAACGAGGTTCATCAACTGGGAGATACTTTCTTGGCGAGGACGGATCAAGGGCTGGCAATGGAGATCGTGTAATGGGAATGCCACCTGTCCAACTTTCTTCCTCGCATTCATCGCAGGTTGGGTCACATGAAAACTTCAAGTACTCAAGGTAGTATTGTCCTTGCTTCACATGGGCATCTTTCATCTTTTGAAGCTTTGAAAAAACTCCGTTGCCGCATATTTTGTGTCGTTGCTGTGGAGAAGCCTTCCTCCATTTAAGAAGGTACTTCGAGAGATGAAGCAGGATATGACTTTCCGGATGGTAGCTGGCAAGGGAGATCAGGAAGTCATTCTTTCCAGGACCCGATTCGTCATGAATGCGCTTTGCAATTTGGTTGGCCATTGACCAAGTATTTGCTTCCTCCCAGGCAATGCAGTGTTGTTCTATGTCTTTCAAGCACACTCTTTCCAATTCTGCAGTAGGAAGCCCATGAAAAGGGTCATTGGGTGGGGCGACCGGACTTCCTGTCGTAAGAGCTTCTCCAATTGCAGCATTAGTGCGTTCTGCCTCGTTCTGCGCCGAGTCACGCGGCGCCCTATGCAAACGAATACGATGGTCTGATTCAAGCAACTGGCACACCAGAAGGAACAAGTCCTGGACTTCTATATTATGGACACCTGCTCCAGGACCTTTGTCTGTCAATTCTAAGACATTGGGGTATGGTACAGGTCGCTCTGGGAAACGTCTCCTTATATCATAAAGCTTCTTACAAGATTCGTCGGTGCCTTTAATGTCCTCAGGAACACGGCATGTCTCCAGTTTCTTTTTGAGATCTTCTACTTGTTGATAGATAGATGAAATGCTTTCTTTCTGTGATGGAGGAATGTCATTAAGGCTGACGTGAAAGTCTTCTACTGCAGCACTTAGTCCATTGTGTAGAGTGGTCTTCCTTTCCTCTTCATAAGGCAATTCTTGTGTGAGAATATCTCCGTTTGCATATTCTGTGCAAAAATGATACAGAAAACAGTGGTGTTGGACTCTTAGTAAAAATGTACTCAAGCTCGGATGCAGCGAAGTTGGAAGACAAAAGACAGTGGGAAATTCTTCTACCAGACGTATCTGTTCGGATGCCCACACTGCTCCTGATGATCCCAATAGCTTGTTATCTTTCGGTCGCACTGTTACAAAGGACTGGTCAAAGATACGAACCAAGGTTGGTTTCTCATCAACATCACTTACAGTCCATTTCATTGCTCTAAATGCACTGGGTGTTACTTGATTCTCCACTCCGACAAAGTCACGCTCTTTGTACTGATGCGGTTTCTCAGTTGACATGAAAATCCCTCTTCCTTTGGTACCACACCAACCAACATCAGTATCAGCTTTTACAGTGGCTTTGTCATCCATAATAATGTCAAGTGTAAGGGAAGCAAGTTCTTCATTCTTATATGCATCCGTCCGGACAAGCTTTACATGTGCCCGTTGATGATGAGTATCTATGTGACTATCCTCTAAAGTTTTGTCGGGTTTCTTACATGTAAAGAAAAATCTCCCATCAGACGCTTTGTGGTGACGTTTGGCCTCTCTCGTGTTACTCTTCCTGGGTTTTTGCCATAAGGCCACTGTACGTGAGCTTTTTATACACGGCTTGCCTTGCTCTTCTAGATAGTGATTTGCAATGTCCAACTGATCAGCCTCTTTGACTCGACTCCTATCACAATACAGAACCGAGTCTCGGCGTCTTCGTTCTGCACTACTGTCACTTTCTAGGGTTTTAACCACAAGTTCCATAGTGTCTTCATCAAGCAGAGCGGATCGCCCTGCACCCTGCGCCCTTGCTTTGAGTCTGTTTTCTTCAATAAGAGTTTGTGCAATTCTCGAGACCATGGACACAAATGCCAATGAATCTTCATTTGATTGTAGCTGAAGTTTTTGACGATACCTTTTTTGAACTGCAGACAGCTCTTTTTCAATCCTCTTGTTATTGACATCTGATAACAAGGGATTTTGCAATGCTTTTTGCAATTCCTGTTCTTTGTCAGTGAGGTGGCGAATACTTTCTTTAATTTTTAAGCGGGCAATGTCTTTAGCAGTCAGTTTCGCATTGCTAGTTTCCTCAATGACATATTTCAGTCTGCAGAGTGATGCATTGCCTGTTGTAGGGTTTATACCAATGTTGTATAGCTGTTTACCTGGTGAACACAAAATATCACAAAATCTTGTGTCAGGATGACAATTAAATTAAATCTGGTGATAGAAAAGTCAATGCACAAATGCCTGATAGCATGCTTGACAAAAGTCCTCTAACTGCCAGTCTGCTCCATTCAGAGTCCAAGGTACCCAAAAGACCTTGAACCAATTCAAATGATAGTGCATGATCTATTTCATCTGGGACCATTTCCTGATGTCCAGCAATTTCCTTTTTTTTAAGAAAAAAGGAGGGAAACACAGGTTGCTTAGAGTTAATAGTACTTTTGCATAAAAACCATTTTCTACTTCTCAAAGGTTATTTGTGAAAATTATATATTTTTTTCTCCTGTGATCATGAGAGGTGTGGAATGCCATAAAGTCACATTATTAGACTGTAGTACATGGTCTAATTGATCACAAAATTGTTGTTCCTAAAGTTTATGTGTAAACAGCACATTTAAGAAGCTAAGAATGTCTCTCCAAGCCCACAAGAGACTAAGAAAGGACAATAAAACTCGTGTTCATCACACACAACTGATCTGGATGCATCTGACTGGAACAGAAATTCTTCCTCTGCTTGAGCTAGAATCGAGCCTAGCGGGCTAAAATGGTGGGAGGTATAGGCACTCTATGCTGTGTCAACCATGCCTCTAATTGTAAACATATAAGAAAAGAATGAACAAGACGCGCTCCCAAACAAAAATTTCTAGCTGCATCCCTGAACATACAC